ATAAACCTTTTACTTGGTCTGTTTCATTGTTTATAGATTTACATTCATGGTGTTTTAGTAGTGCCAGTTGCAAGTCTACCTTTCATATAGAAATTTAACCTATTCACATATGCCAAATTTCTCTACTAGCGATTCAGTGATATTGTTGACTGATTTTCTTCTACCCCAAATTGCATTAGTTCAGATTTTTATATAAACTATTTTTTTAGTTTTACTCTATTTTTTAAGAAAGAAAAAGGAATGAAATGTGAAGAATGCTACAGAAATGGTATGATTCAGGTCCATGAATCACATAATGCCTATCAATGATCTATATCAACATTTCTGTTCTCAAAATATAGTTTAGATTTGGGCTTTCTTGTGTTTTTATAATTATTCTACTGTCTTCATTACATAATCTTAGTCTATAAAAGGATGCCTATAAAAAATCAACAGTCTTGGCAATAGGATTGCCAAATTTATCACATAAAAATACTGAATGCCCAGTTAAATGTGAATTTAGATAAACCATGAAAAAAATCTTTTGTTAGCAATGTGTCCCAAATATTACATAATTTTTTTAACATAAATATATCCCAAGTATTGTATGGATAATGAATACTTTTTAGTATCAATGTGTCCCACATATCGCATGAAATTTTTTAGTATATGTATATGCCAAGTATTGAATAGGATATTCTTACACTAAAAAAAAAATGATTCACGGTTTATCTAAATTCAAGCTTAACTGAGTGTCCTGTTTGTTTTTTTGTTTTTTTTTTTTTTTTTTGGCGGTACGCGGGCCTCTCACTGTTGTGGCCTCTCCCGTTGCGGAGCACAGGCTCCGGACGCGCAGGCTCAGCGGCCATGGCTCACGGGCCCAGCCGCTCCGCGGCATGTGGGATCTTCCCGGACCGGGGTACGAACCCGTGTCCCCTGCATCGGCAGGCGGACTCTCAACCACTGCGCCACCAGGGAAGCCCGAGTGTCCTGTTTTTTATCTGACAACTCTACTTGGAAGGCATCATGGTAATGTGAGTGAACATATGTGCTTCTGGTACTTAAGTAGCTGTGTAGCCTTGGGCATCTCACTTAACCTACCTCAATCTAAGTTTCAGCATCTGTAAAATGAGAACAAATACTAGGTTTTCTATAAAACTTTGAAGTTATTTACTTAAAACACCTGGCACATAGTAAATTTCCATGAAACACTAGCTGTTATTATCAGAACAAGGAAGAAATACAAACGCAAGTTACCAGTTTTTTCCATCTTCATAATAAATGACAGCACTCAGCAGTTAAATAGCCCATTAGATTGATAATGGGAGAGTCCACCTGATCTCAGGTGGCCTCGGCCTGCAGCGGCTCGAAGCAGGCTTTCGGTTCCCGGCCAGAGATTGAGGTCGGGTTTCCTTTGGCCAGTTCTTTTGATTTGCCTGGTTCAGAGTCCCTATTTGGCTCAGGATCCTCCCCTGTGTGCGCACGCGTCTCTCAGCCAAGATGGATTCTACCGAAGAGGCCTGTGGGTAGTTGGCACCACTTACTGTGGGGTGGCGCCCCCTCCCTTTTTGACCGTCAAGGAGCTTTCTAGTTGGGAAGGTTTCCTTGACTTCGAGAATGAGAAAAATGTGGTCTCCTGTCTTCTAGCTGGGCAGGGCCCAGCCTCCTCTCTCAATTGTCCTGCTATTCTCATCTTGGAGTATCGGTCCACAGAGAACGAATCTCCAATTGCTTTCCCTGGGTTGCAGGGGGTGGTCCATCTACCTCCTGCCTCACACCCAGATGTTGGTTGATTGTTTACCAGATCAGAGATTTGACTGATAATAAAATGTACACAAGCATTAACCTCCCTTCTCTCCTCTGCTACTCACCTTCTCTCATGTTACCAAAGATCATGCAACTTGTTAGTATCAGAGCCTGAATGTATGTTGCCTTTGCACATTGTCTTTTTATTCTGTTACAATTTTATTTCAATCCTGCCTTTTTCAAACATCTACTTTTTTAAATTGTATTAATTTTTATTGAGATATAATTTACATATCATAAAATTCACCGTTGTGCAGTATACAATTCAGTGGTTTTTAGTATGTTCACAAGGTTCTGCAACCATCACTACTACATAATTCCAGAACATTTTCATCATGCCCAGAAAGAAACCCCATTCTCATTAGCAGTCACTCTGCATTCCCCCCTCCTCCTTCCCCTGGCAACCACTAATCTACTTTGTCTCCATGGATTTACCTATTCTGGACATTATATATAAATGGAATCAAACATATGTGGCCTCTTGTGTCTTCTTTCACTGAGCGTAATATTTTAAGGTTCATCCACGTTGTGGCATGTATCAGTACTTTATTCTTTTTATGCTTGAATAATATTCCATCATATGGATGTATATGTACCACATTTTGTTTATCCATTTATCAGTTGGTGGACATTTGGGTGGTTTCCACTTACCGGCTATTAGAAATGATGCTGCTAATGAACATTCTTGTACAAGTTTTTGTGTGAACACGTGTTTTCTTTTGTCTCGAATATATACCCAGGAGCGGAATTGTTGCGTCATATTATAACTCTATGTTTAGCATTTTGAGGAACTCAGACAGCTTTCCAGGATGACTCATTATTTTACATTCACACCAGCAATACAAAGCATTCCAATTTCTCCAATTCTTCATTTATTATTATCTGTTTTGTTGTTTTTTATTATAGCCATCCTAGTGTTCATGAAGTGGTACCTCACTGTGGTTTTGATTTGCAGTTCCCTAGTGATTAATGATGTTGAACATCTTTTCAAATACTTATTGGCTCTTTATCTTCTTTGCAGAAATATCTATTTAAATCCTTTGCCCATTTTTAGTTGGGTTATTTGTCATTTTATTGTTGAGTAGTAAGAGTTTTTATATATTCTTATCAGATATATGATTTGCAGATATTTTCTCCCATTCTGTGGGTTATCTCTTCACTCTCTTGACGGTGTTCTTTTTTGTTTTTATTTTTTCCTCCCTTTTGGCCACCCTGCACAGCTTGCCGGACCTTAGTTCCCCAACCAGGGATCGAACCTGGGCTCTGGCAGTGAGAGTGCCGCATCCTAACCACTGGACCCCCAGGGAATTCCCTTGGCAGTGTCCTTTGATGGATAAAAGTTTTTGGTTTTGATGAAGTCTTATTTATCTATTTTTTTCCCTTTGGTTGTTTGTGCTTTTGGTGTCATCCACATTGTCTTTCTTCCATGAAGAATAAAACAAACACTAAACCCTGAGAAGAGAGACATGAGTTATTTTCCCAACTTTGCAATTACATAAATGTGTGACCTTAGGCAAGTATTTAAACTCATTCAGAACCCAGTTTCCACATCTGCAAAAAGAAGCTGGATTCAGCAGAGCAGACGATTTGCAATTTGGGGTGAATAAATTAATCTCTATGAAACCCCCTATGTTAGCAGTTCTCAACCTGGGTAACATTTGGCAATCTCTGGAGACAATTTTGGCTGCCAGAACCGGGGAGGGTTGCTACTGGCATCTAGTCAGTAGAGGTCAGGAGTGCTGCTAAATATCTAACAAGACACAGGGTGCTCCCACAACGAAGAATTGTCTTGCCCCAAATGACAGTAGTGCTGAAGCTGAGAAACCCTGTTCTAAAATTATGACTCTATTATTCAAATTTATTTTAAGTGGTAGTCTTTGAGTTTGTCTGCAGGAGCCAGAGTATTTTGTGCTCTTAGCCTAATGTTAGATGTACTAGTGTTACAGGGGCAGGAGAAGGGGGAGGTGCCAATAATTCTTGCAAGCCAAGAGAATTTTTTTGAAAGTGTTTTCAAGGCTTTTGAAAACTATTATTACCTTTTAATACGAAGAAAAAAATATTTCAATATAGATACCTCCAGGCCAAGGCTTGTAGATGTATTCTTGTTATTGAATCCTTTTCTTTAGGATTTCTGGAACAAAATAGCTTTTGTGAGATAGTTGGTACATGCTGTGAAGTATGTCTGATGAATCATAAGAGGAAAAAAACCCAGAACAACTTGATGGAAGGAACTTGCAGTCGGTGTGTCTCTGCATTAGTGATTTCTCTAAAATGACTATTCTCTAAAATACTATTAGTCCAGCAGAACAATTTACTCCAGCGTTCTCCCATACGGTCTACTGGAATGTACTGATTACCTTGAGTTCCACAGATAATCTATCCAAAATAAAATAGACAATAGCTTGAAATATGCTTCAGCACTCTTTAAAGATCTTGGCATGTAAAAAGCTATTAAATGTGCAGGTGTTTCTTTCCTGTAATAATATAGATGGAATGGTGACCACCTCCGCCACACCCACCCACCACTATCATTGTCGTAGACAAGGTGTTCTAAGTATTTTATAAATGTATCTCCTTTTTCTTACAAAAATCTTATCACATAGTTTGAAAAAACCATTTTTCAGATAAGGGGAAAATGTAAAATAGAGTGGTACAATACCTGCTAAGCCATATTTCCCTATTAAACTTTTTCTTATGTATCAAAACTATTTCATATTTCAACCACAGAGACAATATATTTATTGTTAAAAAAATCTGTGACCATTCATGTTTCGAATTTTCTAGCGCCCCAGGTAATAGCAGTTAAAGCCTGAGTTACATATAATTTTTTTTTCAAGAAGAATTATCTTACGATTATTTCTTTCTCTCAAAAGTATATGGGGGCTTCCCTGGTGGCACAGTGGTTTGGAGTCCGCCTGCTGATGCAGGGGATGCGGGTTCGTGCCCCGGTCCGGGAGGATCCCGCGTGCCGCGGAGCGGCTGGGCCCATGAGCCGTGGTCGCTGGGCCTGCGCGTCCGGAGCCTGTGCTCCCCGGGAACCAAAAAAAAAAAAAAAAAAAAAAAAAAAAAAAGTATATGAATGTACCTCAAAGCTGCTGTAATACTTTTCCATCTCTGAGCACCCACACTTGTGTGTATAGAATTTTAATGTTGCACAACTCCTCCAATATATACGTAATGGAAGAATTTTTGTTTAACTTTGTTTATTTGTACAGGAAGCAGTGAAAGAAAACAACAAGAGAAAAGAAATGGAAGAGAAGACTAGGAGGGCAAAGCTTGCAAAAGAGAAAGCTGAACAAGAAAAGTTAGAACGCCAGAAGAAAAAGAAACAACTCATTGATATAAACAAAGGTATGAAGTGCTTCCGTTTTTTAAGAAAGAGGTATGAAGTGCAAAATAATTGCACTTAATTATTGATAATTTTGAGTTATAAAGTGAATAATAGTTTTGGTAGGAAATTCACAATATTATTAGTTACTTGTATCAAATGTCTTTCATGTTATTATCTGTATTTCTTTTCATCCTGCACTGAACACAGGCTTTTAGATAACCAATGCAAGGTAATATGTTGTTGCAACACTCTTTTTTTCTTCATTTATTTTACCAAATCATATTATGTTCTGGATGAGGCAGTGGTAAGAGAAGAAGAGAGTGAGATGAAAAGAGAAACACTGGTCTGAGGAGATGAGCCTTATGGCTCTAATTTTATTTTGTTGACACATGTCTGTTGACAGTACAGTAATAATTAACACCCTCTCTTGGGGGCTTGAACATTTCAAGTCATAATGGATATTGACAGCACTGTTATAAGTTGCAAAAAAAAATAGGGAGAAGCACCTTGTCCAGCTGTGAGCCTACAAACAAAATACTGATATAACCACCTAGTATAAAGTAAGTTGTTTTCTTGGTTAGCAAGAATGACTGTATATTAAAGGTGGATTTTTTTTGGTTTGGTTTGGTTTTCTTTTTAAAGAAGAGAGGGTAAGGAAAGAAAGTGATCAGCACCAGGTAGCTGCAACTTAGGAATGCAAAAGCATAGCCTTTGCCACTGAGGGTTAGAGAATTGAAAAACAAAACAAAATCTGAACAAGATGCAAGATAATATGATTAATATGGACCACCTATTTCTAAATATAATGATATTAAAAATTGCAAGCACTGTATAATGTTGACTGTGTGCCATATTTTAAGTAAGTTAATCTTCATAACATCTCTGTGAGGTAGGTACTATTATTATCTCATTTTACAGATGAGGAAACTGAAGCTCATAGAAATTAAGGAACTTGCCAAGGTCACACAAGTGGAAGTATTAGCAGCAAGATTAGAATCTAAGTAGTCTGGCGATAGAATCTTTGCACTTATAAATGCCATTGTCAAATAATAATAACAATAACAACAACAGCAACAGCTCACATATAGTACTTACTATGTACCAAGAACTCTTCTAGGAATTTTATGCATTTGAACATATTTAATCCTCATAAAACCCTAGTAGGAGGGTGCCACTATCTCATTTTTAGATGAGGAAACAGACACAGAGAAGTTAAGTGAGTTGCCCAAGTTAACAAAGATAGTAAGAGGTAGAACCAAGTTCTGAGCCTAGGCAGTCTGTGGCCAAAATTAATTATTAATTATTATTACATATTTTTAATCATAGTCAGTTACTCTGTAGTAATGTCTCTTGATGGGGAATCTTCTGAAATAATATCTATACCATTCTTCTTCATATCTCTAAAATACATAAAATTTTTCAGGAATTGACTACAGTTTATCTTTTTACCCAGGAAATAAATATAATTTTAAAAGATGAGAAAAGTATATAGAAGGGATACAACAAGGTCCTACTGTATAGCACAGGGAGCTATATTCAGTAGCCTATTAAAAACCATAATGGAAAAGAATATGAAAAAGAATATATATATCTGTTAAAAGGCCCAGTTTACTGACTCTGGATACTATGAGAAACTCTAAATAGTGGTAGGTATTTTTCAAAATGATAAAATATTTTTTTTTTTTTTTTTAATAAATGGCTATGATTTACTCGGGGGAAAATGGAGCACGACAGTACTTGTAAGCCACTACACAGATGTGCTGACATCCCCAATTTTATAAGTGAGGCAGAATCTCAGTGCAACATTTGGGTCTTGCAAATACAAACACACACACTCACACATACACTCACATACACACACACTTCAAGGTACCCACCTGTAATACTGAAGGTGTGGAGATTGAGGTGTTTTTCACTCCAGTGTTTCTTTGCTGATTCATGCCCACGCCATAAAATCCATGTTAGAGGCGAGGTCTTTCCCCGAACTTGATTATTTTCTGTCTCCTTGGATTGGGTGGGACATGTCTCACTCAATTAGGAAAAGTACTAGAGCACAGTATTTGTAGGAAGTTCTCGCTTAATGGGTGATGGAGTCAGTAGAGCTGTGCTGAATGTTAGTTCCCTTACGTGCATGAAGGAGTACTGAGAGAAGAGGCTGGAAGAGGTACAGGACAGACTGTGCATTCACTTGGCTATGCTAAGGGTCTTACCCTGAGAGCTGTGGGAAACCTATGAATGTTTCTAAATGGGAAAGTGATATGCTTTTTTCTTAGAAAGATCATTTTGACAGAAGCATTAGAGAATGGACTGGAAAGGGAACAGCCTGAGACAACAGAGGTTAAGAGGTTATCGTTGTCCTGACAAGAGATGATGGTGGCCTGAACTAATGCAGTGGTAGTGAGGTTACAGAAATCACCAGTAAGAGGTGCATTAGATTCTCTAGGTTGTGGATATGCAGAGACAGGTCTGTCTTAAGGAATTGGCTTGCGTGATTATGGAAGCTGGCAAGTCCAAAATCTGCAGGGTAGGATGGCAGCCTGGAGACCCAGGGAAGAACCAGTGTTGCAGTTCAAGTCCAAGGGCAGTCTGCTGGTAGAATTCCCTCTTGTTCAGGGGAGATCAGTTTTTTGATCTATTCAGGCCTTCAGCTGATTAGATGAGGCCCACCTACATTACAGAGGGCAATCTGCTTTACTCAAAATCCACTGATTTAAATGTTTATCTCATCCAGAAACACCCTCAGAAAAACATCCGGAGTAATGTTTAAACAAATATCTGGACACCATGGCCCAGCCAAGCTGACACATAAAATTAACCATCACCAGAGGGTTGTTAAAAGGTAGAACTGACTGACCCTGATGATTTTAGATGTGGGAATTAAGGGAAGGAAGCATTAAAGAAGCTGGTACTCTTCATAAAGAAAAAACAGTTCAAGAGTAGAGCAGACTTTATCAGGAGGGTTACAATGATTAGTGACATTTTGAAACTGTTTCATTTTCAGAAACCTTGTAAAGATGGGAAATGTCTAAGAAGCCATTGTGTGTGTGTGTGTGTGTATGAAACTCAGGAAAGAGGTTTAGACTAGACAGACAGACTTGGGGATCATTGATTTTTGATGATTAAAGTTAGGGTATATTAAGTTTGCTAGGGCTTCTGTAACAAAGTACCACAAACTGGATGGCTTAGGACAACAGGAATTTATTGTCTCACAGTTCTGGAGGACAGACGCCTGAAATCAAGGTGTAGGCAGTGTCCTGCTCTTTCTGAAGACACTAGGGAAGGACCCATTCCAGGCCTCTCTCCTAGCTTCTGTTGGTTCCTTGGCTTGTGGCAGCATAACTTCGATGGTCACATGGCATTCTCCCTGTGTGCACGTCTGTCTCTTCACATGGTGTTCTTTTTATTAGGACACTAGTCATGTTGGATTAGGGGTCCAACCTAGCCTAGTTTAAATTCACCTTAATTAATTACACAATTTATCTTATAACATATGAGTTTGAATGAGATCACAGGGTAAAGTATAAGTCAGAAGTTCTGAAAGTATTTGGTCTGAGAACCCATTTACACTCTTAAAAATTATTGACGACCTCCAATATCTTTTGCTTATTTGGGTTATACGTATTGACATTTATTATATTAGAATTTAAGTGGAGACATAGTAAATAAAATTATTTAAGAAATAATTTTAAAAGTAATTATTTATTAATTCTATTAAAATAAACTATTATGTGTTAAATAACATTTTTTTATGAAATGTAGCTTTATCTTCCAAAATCTCCCCTTCAAAAAACTTAGTAAGAAGAGAAAAAAAATAGTGTAAATCTCTTCAAAATCTGGCTTAATGGAAGACAGCTTGATTCTCATACCTGATTCTACATTCGGTCTAATGCGATATCATTCATCATGTAGCTTCTAGAAAGCACTATACACTCATGAAAGAATGAGAGAAAAAGGCAAAAATGTGTCAGTATTCTTATGAAGATAGTTCCAACCTTGCAGATCTGAAATGATCTCAGAGGTCTCCACAAGTTCCCAGATTACACTTTTGAGACTCTCCAGGGTGAATAGTGAAAAGAGGAAGGAGTCAAGGCAGAGTCTGTCCAGTTTTGTGCCGAGAACATAATCTTGTTCCCACATCACACTGCCCCCCTCCCCGACCTCCACCCCAAGTGTGTATCAAGCTTTCACTATTTCCTTAAAAACATACCTACAATAGAAAGAAAAAAAGAAAGAACCTATTTTGATTGTGTCTATAATATGTATATATTTTCATTTGCCAAGATTTGATTGATGACCTCTTCAAACATCATCAAAGGCATAGTATATAGATCCAAATAAGTCTTTTATGCAAATGCTTAGCTGAGTGATCTGAATGCGAAAGACACACTTTAAAATAGGATTAATCTTTTGTATACTCTTAACCATATCTCTATTTACAGATCAATTAAATAATAAACTTCACCATTAGGTTCTTGATTTGTGGCCCATATGTGGCAAGTACTTATTATTATTATTGTTTTTTATTGTAATATTATTTTACACTTAAGAGTATATGTTTGTTAGTACTTATAAATATGTTTTAAAAAGAGATCCTTCCATTGAAATTGTATAGTCTTAAGAAGATGAAAAGATGCAGAAAAGAAAGAATAAGAACAGAGTTGGGTAATTGGGTGTCAAGATGGAGCTCAGTGTTGGTGAGTTTCTTAGTATCTTATAAAAGATGCTGTTGTTAACTAGGTGGAAGTCAGTTGCAGATATTCTGAGAGCCTGGGAGGAGGCATGATGGAGTTACGTAAAAGGTGAATCCATGTTAGAAATGAGAATGAGGTGCCATAGAGAACTTTGAAATGTGTCCAACTAGAATGGTGTTATCCACTTTCCACTGAAAGAGAACTGATATAGAACATTTGATTGCCATTGTGAGGTACATATAATTTAAACTGTAGAGATAGTTCATGCACATGTGACTAGAGATACATACCACTGGAACCCGGGGATCTGACCTATAACAAAGGTAGTC